AAATCTGAATGGCTATTTTATCTAACCGTCCTTGCACTCTTCCGCAAATGTGTGTGACTGGGTTATGTTAAACTAATGTTCATAGGGTGGAGAGGGACTTTCATTTGTGGGATTATGTAAGGGTTTTGAGATTCACACAATTGTTTATAAGCAAATGGACTTTTCAAATACCTGCATGCATGTTGGAAATAATAGGTAGCCACCATATATGTATGTACCCATAAAAACACTGAAAACAGAGTCCTGCAAATCTGCGGATATCTGCTTTCTATCTACATCCATGGATGTGGATATCCACAGTTCATTTTTGTGGATATAGACGCGGATATTTTTTTTTATTTCCTAGAACTCTGCAAATTTGCAGAGATCTGCTTTATATCCATAGGTATAGATATGTAGATCATTAGTGCAGACACCAATACCAATTCTGTAGCCACACAGGACTCTACAAATAGGGCTTTCCAGAACCCCCAGATGGAGGAGAGCCAAAATATCTGTGACATCTGTTAAAGACTTCTTCATTGCAAGGCTAATTTCTATAGATGGCAATATTGAGATATGGTGATGGGTAGTGACACATGCCCTTTAGGTCAGTAGCCTTTGATGCTCAGGAAGTTAGATGAGCCAGGGAAGAAATCAAGCAACAGCCATCATAGCTAGAACTGTGTGTGTACACAGTTACTTTCATGGATATGGTGAGAAATGTGGCACTATAAACAGCCAATAAATCTGATTTGACTCTCTCACCAGGGTGGAACTCATATGTTAACATCAAAGTTCTACATCTATAGCCTGGCATAATCCTTATTCTTGTTCAAAAGAGGACAGGAAAGGATTAAAGTCTCCTAAAATGTCCCTGGCCTCCATATCTTTGACTCTATGGAAAACATTGCATATTACTTAGGTGGCACATCTCATGGCTCATATAGAATAGTCCAAATAATAAATACTCACTCTCAAAAGTTGGGGGAGAGGCAATCTAAATCTGTTCATCAAAACTATTTGATAATTACAAATAACGAAATATTTGTAGAGTCATGGTCTCTTTGTGTACAAAGCCAAGGAATAAGTAATTCTAATGATTCAGTTATCCCTACTAGGTGATTCCTAAGGGTAGGTTTCCTTAAAGCATACAATGCAGAAAGGAATCGGCAATATGAAACTTCTGTTTACTATCTAAGGGTGTCGGTGTCCAATTGTACGTCTTCAATAAGTGCCATAAGACATTCCAGTTTCTCTCCAGCATGTTGAGAAGCAGAAGAACACAATGTACAAGAGCCAGTCTTTAATGAACTTATCAGCATAGGCACACTCTGACAATACTTTCTGTTGTGGAAATTAATTTCTTAGGGACAATAAAATTATTTACTGTACTAGGGTGGGTTTTTTTAACATTTCTTGGATCTGTTCATGAGCTAAAAGAACCCATTGCAAAAGCAAAAGGAAATTCTTGTCTTTTAATAAATGTGCAAGCTGTACTAAAGCATTAGTGACTTTTGATAGCTGATAATGTCAACGTAACATAGAAATAAGCTGTCTCTTGAGACCCCATCAGATAATACAGGATTGAGTTACTCAGTTTACACCTAATATTCAGATCTTCCCAATACAGGAAAATGTACTTTTCTTCTTAAAAATCTTCTCTTATTCCTGTCACTTGCTGCCTTGTGAAAAACTGAATACTAAATATATATATCCATGATAAAAAATGGAATTTTGGTCAAAACTTGGGGTTCCATGTGCTGCTCATTCTAACCCTCACCTTTTTTGCATTTGGTGCATGTCATTTTGAGAGGTCTTTCAATAACACAGTGGGAAGAGAGTGGAGAAAAAGAAGCTAGATCTTGCACAATTAGGGTATGTTTTACTCTTCATTCCTCTCTTGAGAGAGGAATGCAAATGCAGACACCCGAAATTGCAAATGAAGCGGGGATTTAAATATCCCGCACTTCATTTGCTTAATTGCATTCTGGCACTATTGCGAAATAGTGTTATTTCGAGATAAAACCCTTCCCTCGAAATTAAACCCTTCCCTTAAGGTAATCTTGAAATAGCGCTATTTCGAGAGAAAAACGGGGTTGTTACGCAATAACACGATTATGCAAATGAAATGCGGGATATTTAAATCCCCACTTCATTTGCAATTTCGGGTATCTGCATTTGCATTCCGAGAGAGAGAGGAATGAAGGGTATGTCTACACTGCAGAGTTTTTTCTGGAAAAACTACATTTACGTCCACACTGCTATTGCGTTCTTTTGACAGAAAGTTGAAAGAACAGAGGGATTTTCCCAACAGCGGTATGCCTTCTTCTGAAAAAGCTTTTTGGAAAAAGTCATGTGTGGGTGCAAATGAGTGTTTTTTCAAAAGAAGAAGCCTCCAGGAAAATGCACAGGTGCCCTCGTGGCCACTCTGTCCACAGTAATCAGAACTGAAATGTGAGATAGTGTCTACATTGATTGGATGCTATCTTTCAAAAAAGCAGATCACTTTTTCGTTGTGCTTTTGCTGGTGTAGACATGCTTTCAAAAAAAGTTTTTTCCAGAAGATTTCTTCTGGAAAAGCTTCTTCCGAAAGAGGCTTGCAGTCTAGATGTAGCCTTAGTGGCATCTTTTTTTCAGAGTCTATGCTGATTTTTTTTCATACCAATTTATTTACCATTGTGTACAAAACTTGAAGTAATTGTACTGGAAACACAAGCCATTCTTGCAACTGTTACTAGTTCAGTTGTCTTTATCCACTCATATTGGATTTCCAGGGCGTCTTATAATCAATATGTGTAATAACGTCGTTCATATGGGTACTACCAAAGAAAGAAATGGGGTAAGAGAAGACATTTCTGTGCACCAAACCAGGCATAAACATCCAGTAAAACGAAGGCTCCCTTCCTTCCCTGAAGTCTTTTAGAAAGTCCTTTGCATGCTAGTGAAAGGTGTGAGACTGATATGGTTCTCAGTGTATTCAGAACAGAATATACTGATTCTGCTTGCTTCTGCAACATCCCTTCCAACCACAGGGCTTGCTTCTAGGAGACAGAGGACAAGGTGGATTGACTTAAATCAAGACTATTTACATCACCAAGTATAAAGCCTTAATTTAAATCAGCAATTTTAATCAAGTTTCCCATTTGTACTTCATCCTTTTTCTAAATAAAAATGCATTCTCACTTGTTGATAACCATTAAAATACATTGATTTAACTAAATTGAGCCTTTCCACTAGATTTGGCATATCTTTTTGCTCCCTCGGAGGGTACATTGTAACTATCTACATTTATTTAAACAATTATATAGCTTAATATTTTCAGATTTTCATTGTACACTTAGTATGTTAGAAAATAGCAAATAATGCATTGCTTATTTACTAGATAATTAACTTTTTTCCTCTTGATTTGTGGCAAGCTGCATGAGGATGGTAACTAGAATTTAAACAAGCGCACACAACAGCACATAAAATTTATTACTAATAAACACAACTTTAAGTGTTTCAGACATAAACTTCTGTATTCAAAACATGTTTCACATTTGCAAACTAAATTATAAGGCCTTAACATATTTTGTAATACATTGTATTACTTGCATTTTTAATGGGTTTTATGTTTCAAAAAGAAAAACATGCTATACTTTAAAATAAATCCAGTTTAATTTTTTTTAAAAAAAATCAATTGTTTGGGTAGCTTCATTCAACTGATATTGCTAAAAAGCTAGCCAATTAGCACCAGTTGTGTGCTGATAGTTATTGTGATGTGGACTGGATCAGCTGAGGAATATGAACCAACTCCCCCAACACACATTCCATGTAGGCTGCTATAGGGCCAGCAGATGGTAATGACATGTAGAAATACATTTTCAATCCCAGCCTCCATGTGCCCAGAAATTCATACATTCTCACTTTTGCAGGAACGAATACCTGAATGTGTGTGAATTCAAAAAAAAATTGGACATCTATATATACTTATGTGCATGCAAGCTGTAGAATTCAGTCCTGCAACATACCTTTGTCCTGACAGGATTAGTGGGTGTATTTTCTTAACATGTAAATTTTTATGTAAGACATTTTCAAGTGTGTGCACAGGTGCTTGCCTCTGCAAGTGGGTGTTCATGCATGTGTAATTTTGAATAAAAGAAAGCCTGGCTGAAAAACATACCAACCATTGGATTTGAACTGGCAACCTGTCAATGAAAGGTGCTGAAATCAGTCACTGATCAAGCCTGTCCTTGTTTAAAAAATAAAATAAATATTTTAAAATCACTTGCTAAATGGATAGATTTATTAACAACAAACTTCTAGTGTGCCAGACGGTGCCGAAGGATAAAGGATGATATTCTGCCTCAGTGATCTCTATGAGAGCTTTACCATTTACTTCAACAGGGCCAGGATTGCTCCAAAATGCATAAGAAAAATGACCTCTTAAACAACTAGATCTGTCAATGACTATATTTTCTTCAATCCAAAATTTGGTGGTTCATAGAACAAAGGAATCCTCAAAAATGAGCCCTAAATACAGAAAAATATCGTGGAGTAGCAACATAATAAATTAATGTTATTTGCTAATTATTTGTACAGTGGGGGGAAGTTCTGCATTGTACTCTATACAAGTAAAATGGTAAAGTCCTTGAGAAGCTTGCACCAGAAACTATAACAATTGTTTGTGTTAACTGACACTGGTTAGTGTTTTTTTTTTCTGAAGTTTCCAATTTCATCTAACCTTTGAATTTGGAAACTTTAAATTGAAAAGGGGGAGGGGAGGGATTTGATGAACCTGTGTTTGTTTATTATTTCTTAAAAAAATAAAAAGGGGGGCTCAAAGTAGGAGATATCAGTTATCTCCTAGTATCAAAGGGGTAGCTGTGTTAGTCTGTAACTTTAAAAACTTCCTCAAATTTTGCCCACAAAAGCGTATGATACTATATATATTTTTTGTTAGTCTCTAAGGTGCCACAGGACTACTCGTTGGTCTCCTAGTATGTAAATCTGAATCAGGATTTTCTTTTTCCTTCCAGTAAGTCCCCCAGAGACCGAAGAGACAGGAGAGACTGTTAAAGTGATGCTAGTAAGTCTCGCCCCGTTACTCATGATCACCCTTGCTGTGATCATTATCTTTTATGGCTACCGTATTCATAGGAGAAGGAAGCTCAACAAGGCATGGGAGAAGAATGTAAAGCCCAGGAAACATAAGGACTGCAGCGATGTTTGTGCCATTATGATAGATGATGACCGCTCGGACATCAGCTCCACCTGTGCCAACAACATCAACCACAACACCGAACTGCTACCCATCGAGCTAGACACCCTCGTGGGCAAGGGCAGATTTGCTGAAGTCTACAAGGCCAAGCTGAAGCAAAATACATCTGAGCAGTTTGAAACCGTGGCTGTCAAGATCTTCCCCTATGAGGAGTATGCATCCTGGAAGACCGAGAAAGACATTTTTTCAGATATAAACCTCAAGCATGAGAACATCCTTCAGTTCCTGACAGCAGAGGAACGCAAGACAGAGCTAGGGAAACAATACTGGTTGATCACTGCCTTCCATGCGAGAGGGAACTTGCAGGAATACCTTACGCGGCACATAATCAGCTGGGAGGACCTGTGGAAGCTAGGTGGGTCTTTGGCCCGCGGGATTGCCCACCTGCATAGTGACCACACACCTTGCGGTCGACCCAAAACACCCATTGTGCACAGAGACCTAAAGAGCTCCAATATCCTAGTGAAAAATGATTTAACCTGCTGCCTCTGTGACTTTGGGTTATCCCTGAGGCTTGATCCTACTCTGTCTGTGGACGACCTGGCAAACAGTGGGCAGGTGAGTTAAAATGTTAATGAATAACTTACATTGTTTGTATTGGTTTGTCAGTCTGAGACACTTCCGGGGACTACAGGGAAAACCAGTGCTATGTTAGCTATTGGAAAGAAATAACACACTCATAAATAAAGAGGCTCGAGTCTGGACACAATTAGAGTAATGCCACGTGACAGTTTTGTTATGATCAAGTGTCTTATGCATATACAGCACAATCATCTTATGAGAACTTACAATGAAGTACATATTGGTTACTTAGTTACTGTTTGGGCTGCTGCAACAAATAATAGGAAGGTATGTTTTAAAACTATTGTAGGACCAAAAACAGGAATCATGGCACAAGATTTCAAGAATTTATACGGTGTAACTTCATTGAAGTTTATGAAGTTTCTTATGATGTGCACCAGTGTAAAGAAGAGCAGAACCTGTCCCAGAGATCAATTGGTAGCTCTAACTTTAAAACACCCTTGAGAAGTCTCTTTAGGATTATGGTATTTTCTTGAAATGCAGGCAAATACAAAATTGCCCAAGCACTATCATTCTGTGGTTATCTTATGACTATGTAACATGAATAATAGGACTTACCTACTTCACATGGGTTGATGGAGGTTTAATGTTTGTAGAAGTGTTTGAAGGTGAAGTTATAGAAGTGCTTCTACAAATATCCAGTATTATCATGAATTTTCTTTCATTGTAAATAGACTCCATGTATCAAGTAGATTAGGTCCTAATGTAGGTCCCTCATATAATTATATCTTTCAACAGTTTATGCTCCACAGGTTGTATCCTTGGGCAAAGGAGAAGTGTATTCATTCACACCAGGGCCAGATTAAGGGGGGCTAGCCGGGCAGCTGCCCAGAGCACCAACCTATGGGGGGGTGCCTGATTGAAGTGGAAAGGGGCGCCACGTGCCCGGGGGCTGGGCCGCGCATACGCCACGCACCCGGGTGCGTGGTGCCCCTTACCACTTCCATCAGGCGCCCCCCATAGGTTGGCGCCCGACGGTGGGGCTGCGCATGTGCCACTTGCCCAGGGGCGTAGCGCCCCTTACCATGTCAACCAGGCGCCGCGCGCCCACTGCCCAGAGCGCAAGTATGGCTTGATCCGGCACTGATTCACACTATGACTTATGTTATATGGGACCCTTTTCTTTCTTGGCTAGGCCATTAAAGTCAATATATAACAGCCCTGACCCTCTCTTCTTCTGTAGGATTGGGTTTATTATTCAAAGCTGGTAGGAGTGATCTCACACTTTTCCAGAGTAAATCTATTGAATCTGATGGTGTTATCTTCACAATGATATAATTGATGGCAGAATTTACCCCACAAGGCCAGATTCAGAAGTGTTGTGCAATGTGGTGTAAGTTAGAGACCCTTAAACTCATTTTCCCTTGCACTTTGTGTCTCTTAAACCTACTTACCTCAGCTCTGCCTACATGTAAAGGACTCTGAGTTGGTTTTATTCACATCCTGAGAAGAAATAAGAACAGACGGTATAAGATACTATAAAGCTGACCCACCCTATCTCTTCCTCCTCCTTGGTGTAAGACTTCCTTCCACAGCAATAAAGTGGATAGTAAGCAAGTGAAAGGGAATCTCAGTGATGGTGAAGTAATTTGAATGTAAGGACACTCCACCTCTGGATACATTGTCAGTCTGTGGTTCATCCATGGATTCAGACCTTTCTTATCAGAAAGTCTAATTTAAAAAGGCTTGTGATAGAATTGGCCCAAATTTTCTATTTAGGGGATTTTTTATTTATTTATTTATTTCTAAACTTGTTGTGGAAAATATTTCCCATTTTCTGACCAGCTCTAGGCGCTGTGTCCTTTATAAAGTCATTGCCAGTGTGGTGCTCCTGCAACAGTTTTAATTTTTATCTAACCAGATGCATAAGATGCATTTAACCATTGTTTATATATAACACAGGTGACCTTAGTAACAGGTTATTTCTTCCTTATAGTATTTATATTCCATTTTCAGTCCACCTAATCTCTGCAGGCAGTATTTGGAGGCAAAAGTGGTTTACTGAGAACACTTGATTTTGAGCCTTCCTCTGGTATTAATGTCAGCACCACCTTAGAAGATCTGTATAGGAAAAAATGGAAAAGCAAAGCAATTTTCACAAAAGAAAGGGGTATCATTATATGTCAACATACGGGAAGGCCACCCTAATGGAGGGAGAGTTTTAGTGAGCAGATTGCCTTCCCATCCGCTTTCCAACTTGCTTTCTATGCATTCTTCAACAAATATCACTGGCATATAGGATCACATGAAGAGATTGTAAATAGATCGATTTTATTTATATTCTAGTGTGTCTTAATATGCATTCCACAGACACAGAGAAAGATAGTCCTTGACTCAAAGAGCTTAGAATTGAAATTTAGACAAAGGACCGCAAACAATGGGCTAGAAGAGGGGAGGATAAATGTTAAACAGTAAGGAAATGATTTGTTTTATTTGCTCTGCATATTAGTCGAAACAATTGTTATAGGGCCTGATTCTCCATTGCCATGCAGCCTTATGTAGTCATTTGCACCAGTGCCAAGTGAACATGAAATGCTGCCAGATCAGAATGTCACATAGTTGTGGTATAAATGGCTACACACAGTGAAGGGCAACCGAATTATGTGTACACTGCGCAGAATAATGCCATTCAGTACTAGTTTCCTGCTTTGTCCACTCTAATCTTACAGTAAATCAGTGTTTGTTTGAAAGAATGGTGAGCAATCCCACTGCAGTTTTCAAGGTTAGTTGTACTAAGGATGTCAGATATCACCTAATTGACTCATCGAATAGTCGATGCATTTTGCTTCGACTGTTCCGTTAGTTGATAGGGTGCCTCTGCCTTTGAAGTGTAGCAACAACCCTAGGGACTGATCCTGGGCTCTACACGGTGCTGCTATTTTGAAATGCCATGTGCAGCCTGGGGATACCCCAGATGGCCCCAGGCTGCAAGCAGTATTTCAAAGCAGCAGGAGCTCAGGTCTGGCCCCAGGCTTCAAGCGGTGCTGCCGCTTTGAAGTACCCCCCCTCCTCTTTTCCCCCCTGCCCTCCCCCACACTGCCTCTTTATGATAGAGGCAGTGGGGGGAGGGGGGAGAGTGACTAGTCAAGTAGCCTGTCTACTGTCTGATAAGCATTTGCTTATGAGATAGTCGATTAGTCCTTCACATCTCTAGGTTGTACTATGTATACATGTCACCACCTCGTACATCAGTCTGCAATAGGGATGTAAAATCCCATTTAAAATGTTACCAACTGGTTAAACTATGTTTAACTAGTTAACCAGCCTGCCACGTCATGGGTAGTCGAGTCAACTACTCGCTTCTCCCAGCCCCCCTTGCTGCTTCTGAATCAGAGGCAATAAGGGGTGGGGAGCAGGAGCCAGTGCTGGAGGGAGCCGGCTTAAAATCCAGTTTCCCCCCATCGCTGTGTCTGTGGTGCTGCCCGCCCTCTCCTGCTCGTGCGTTGGAAGGGGGCTGGGGAGGCTGCTGAAAAACAGCTTCTACCTGCAGCAGGCTCAGGCTTGCCATGAGCAGAGGCTGCTCTGCATCCCAGGCTGCTTCCCATGGTCAGGGGCAGCTGGACCTGGTGCGAGCTGGGACTGAGCAAGCCCAGCTCCATCCCAGCTCGCCCCAGATCCAGGATCTAACCCCGCTGCAGCTCTGCATTTTAAATGTAGTAAGTGCCAGTCTGGGTCATACAACATTTAAAATGTAGAGTTGCAGCAGTCCGAGACCCAGCGCTGGGCCCAAGATTGCTGCAGCTCTGCAGTTCAAATGTAGTAGGAGCCAGGCTGCCTGTGTGCCCAGCTGTTACTACATATAAACTGCACAGCCACAGCGGGGGTAGCTCCCAGATTAGGGATGTTCTGTTTTGATTAATCAGCTAATCGAGTAGTGGATGGGATTTCCATCAACTACTCAGTTGATAAGGAGTGAGGGGGCGCTCGCTATCCCAGCCTTTGAAATCTAGCAAGAGCTGCAGTCAGCTCGTGCTACATTTCAAAGGCAGAGGTATAGCAGGCACTGAAGCAGTCCCCACTCGTGTCGGGTGCCCTGCTGCGCCTCTGCCTTTGAAATGTAGGAAGAGCTGTGGGTGTGTCTTGCTACATTTCAAAAGCAGAGGCACAGCTTCTAGGACCAGGTGCTCACACCTGGTCCCCTGCTGCACCTCTGTCTCCAATACCCCCCCTTTTAAGCCGGCTCCCCCCAGCACCAGCTTCTGCTCCTCTGCTGCCTTGATAGAGGCAGCAAGGGTGCGGGGAGCAGCAACTGGTTGAGGGACTAGTCAACTATCTGATAAGCTTATGCTTATCTGATAAGCTTATGCTTATCTGATAGTCGACTAGTCGCTTACATCACTACCTTAATGTGGGGCTTCTCAGGGTAGATTTTAGATATCTAGTCCATGAAGATTTTTGTCATTTGCAAGTAACTCTTGAGATATTCTTAATTATCTCCAAAGTCCTCTGCTATGATAAAAGTTATAATCAATATTTTTGCCTTCTGCACACCATTACATTTCAGATTATGCTAGAGTTGAAGAAATTATTTTTGAAAATTATCTGACATGTGTAAGCCTCATCTTCTGTTTTTGATTGAGATACCTAATTCTACATTGACTATTTGCTGAGGATGGCATAGTTTTAAAAAGTATAGTGTAAAAAATATGCAAAGGGAACAGCTAGCATTATAACAACCAGTGAGACTGAGCATAATATATTTTACAACATCAGAAACCCACAGAAAGACACTGAACATATGGAAAAAATTTTAAATCCATAAGTAGTCGGGCCTACTTCTGTAAAAACCCCAAAAGCAAAAAGGAATGGTCATTCATGAAATCTTGCCATGAAAAGCCATAATGGGATTTTTTTAGCAATTTAGATCACTAATTCACAGGGATGCAAGGCAATTGGTGGTCTATATTATGCCAAATTCTCTGTGCAACAAAGAGCTTGGTCTGTATTCCGTACTAAAAGTCAAATAACATAGCTATGGTTGGAAATGGAAGCAAAGCTGTAATAGAATAGGGAAAAAAAAGAGAGAGAGCTACAATTTCTGAGTTTCAGCAATCCCTTTTCTACCTGTCTACAGGTTGGCACTGCAAGATACATGGCTCCTGAAGTCCTGGAATCCAGGATGAACTTGGAGAACGTTGAATCTTTCAAGCAAACGGATGTGTACTCTATGGCTTTGGTCCTATGGGAAATGACATCTCGTTGTAATGGTGTTGGAGGTACGTCTAATGGGGTTTTATTATTGAAGGAATGTTTTGGTTACATATTCTTGCAGAACTGTTAAAAATTTTTCTCTCTCGTTGTGGGAATTATCTAGCAGTCCCAGGGCATTGTATGCCTCTTCAATAGCTTCTCTTCTCAGACCTCCTGCTCTAGATTGTTTTGTGTAAAGGATCCTCTTAGAAGTGTGAACTCTCTCCCTACATTTTCCTCCATGGAGTGTTAGAGATGTTAGCTATCCGTTAATTGAATAGCAGACTAACCGCATGAATTCTTAGCAGTTAGTCAACTATTCTATAGTCCCTGGGAGTGAAGCCAGCAGCCAGTGAAATCTGGTCCTGTGCCCAGAGAGGCCCCTGCCACTCCATGCTGCTGCCTCTGTCAGAGGCAGCAGCACAGGCTGGCAGCAGTCCCCGTCTGCAGAGGGTCCGAGGCTGCTGGAGGGGAGGAGTCAGGGAAGGCTGCCCTGAAGCAATCTCTATTTGCAGTGGTCTGAGCTGGCTGTGGACAGAAGCTGCTGCCGCAGAGCAGTTTCTGTCCGTGGCGGTGCTGGGCCTGGCCATGGGCAGAGGCTGCTCCAGCAGCAGCCCCTGTCCACAGGGGGATGAGGACCCCCGCAGACTGGGGCTGTTGCCAGAACAGCCTCTGCCCATGGCCAACCCCAGCACTGCCACAGACAGAGGCTGCTCTGCAGGATGTAGAGCAAATTCTGCCTGTGGTGAGCCCAGGCCAAGCATCGGGAGAGGCTGCTCTGTGGCAGCCTCCCCTGTCTCCTCCTCCCCATGCTACTGCCTCTGATGGAAGCACCAAAGTGGGTAGGAGAGGCAGCACTGCAAAGTCAGTGCTGGGGGGAGCCAGCTCCTGTTTCTTCTCCCCCTCCCCCCCCACTTGCTGCCTCTGATACAAAGACAACAAAGGGGAGGAATGCGAGTAGTCGACTAGATTAGTTGATCAGGACTGGTCATTTCAGCAGATACATCCCTAAATTAATCCCTGTGTCCCAATCTTTCTTCCATACCTGAGATGGGTGCCAAAATTGCACCCTGACAACTTCTCTAATACAGTAACTCATTGTCAGTATAAAAAATAGTGGGACATCGAGGCTGTAGAGACAGAGTCAACTAAATATCATAAGGGATGTCTACTTTTGCTATTCGTTTTCAAATGAGGTGTATTAAAACAAAACCTCCATTTCTGATACCCTAAAGTTGCCCTAAAATTTCCAGAGTTGTGTACGGTATCAAACCCAGGAGGCTGGCCACAGAATTTATATGCAATGTGCTGTGATGTACAGGCTTTGTTGCCTCTCTGAATTTAGGTTCCAAGTAAAATTTGCTGGTCTTATCATAGTACATAGCATTGTGAGACATTTATGTTCATCCAAAACCTACCACTCGGGCAACTAACTCAGGCTTTGTGGATAGCAGCGTGATGCCAGTTTTCTAGTTGATTGTGGGCAATAGATACTTGCACAAATAGGACCGAGGAATGGAGGTAGATATTATGGCAGATGTGCATTAGGCAGCAAATGTTGTCACTTCTTCCAAAACTGTGGGTGCTCCTTGTCCAGCAGAACTAAAGCAATGGCAGTTCAAGGCACTGCACAGAGAGGGGGCAATCTAAGCAGGTGCAGAGTTTGTGTGGAGATTCCCACATGTCAATAAGTAGATGGGAGGGAAACATGAGCAGGCTGGAGATTTGCTGTTTCATGCGTCCTCTTGTCCATGAAGACTCCACTGCCATTGGGCTGGAGTTGTCACTGTGGAGTTGCTGTACAGTTGTCATCATGGATGGAGTTTGGAGGCTCATTCCATCACTCCAGCCTTTTCATATATATTGCTGAGCTCTCAGTTCTCCAGTGTGGGCTGGGCACTGGGTAATAGATTCACCCCTGCAAGAACTGTGAGGGAAACCTGCAAAGCAAATATGCTATAACTATTGAGAAGCATTTTAAAAAAAACCTATTCGACTATTTCAAGGAAGTATGGCTTGACAAACATTTTGTGGTTCCATAATTTAACCTCAGAACAAACCTATCTGAGATGAACTCATATGGTGTGTATTTATAAACACAGGCCATTTATTGTTGCCACGCACCCTTTTAAATTTGTATTTCATAAATAACGATGATGAAATTTAGAAGAGCAGAAATACAGGATCTTTGCTCTGTCTCTAGAACAGTGTGTGTTTCTTACCCTTAGTAGCACACTGTTATTTATATATACAAGAGCTTGTTTGCTCAGGAGTCTTTCATCCTTTTGCTGTTGCCTGAGGTCCTTTCCTGTTGATATTTGCTGAGTACAGTGGAATGGTGCTTGTGGTGAAAGAAAACCTCACTGAAGCTCTCTGCTCACAAGGAAGCTGCTTAAAAGAGGATGTGAGTGTAGTTTCATAAGGAAGAAAAATCATCAGCTTGTCAGCCAGAAGAGAGTGGCCCATTATAACCTTCAGAATAAGCACATAAGAACCATTCGGAAAAGGAAAAACTTATCTGGCCCAACATCCCTGCTCTTTCTTGCTGCATTTTAACCCTGCTTCCTGGTTTTCTTTTTTCATCCTTACCCCTCAGTCACTTCTTGTCTCTGAAAAGAAACTTCTTGAACTTGTTTATTTCCTGATTTCAGTCATTTTCCCAGGCAGTTTAATTCCACAACATGATGCTATGGTATAAAGATTTTAGTCCTTGCAATCTTGGATGACCTTTTAGTCACAAGGAACAGAGCCAAGCTTCAAGCTTTTGTCCTGATCATAGATAACTAACTCCCAGAACATGGGCCCAGAGCCACAAATGGACTTAGGCATTGGGGCACTGAGTTTAGGAAGGCATGACTTTGGCAACTAGAAAACTGGCATCACACTGCGATCTACAAAACTCGAGTTAAGTGCCTGGGCTCTGTATGTAACACCTCGGGGAAGAGAGGTGCCTAAGAACAGAATTCACAAAAACCAGAACACGCTAGGCAGGCAGCTACCTAAGGACATGCCAATATAAGGTGTTGAAGAGATGGGAGAACTCCTCTCATGGAGTCACAAGGCGTAGGGGTCTAAGTTACTTCTTGTCAGAAGGTGTTTGGAACCTGCCTCATTCCACACACAATGGCAACAGTGGTTCAGTGTTATTGCTTCTAGTCAAGTGCCTGTGGGAGAGCCAGGTTCAATTCTCTTCTCTGCCTGGAGGGGAGAAAGCATTTCAACAGGAGTCTCCAGCCTCTGAGTAGAGTGCTGTAACCACTAGGCTATGGCATAGCCTGCAGAGGGCCCCCTCAGGCTCTCCTGTTGAAGCTGTTCCACTGTACATAATTAATGTAAGAGTCATTGGAGCAGGAGGACTGGACCCAGGACCTCCCACCTCCCAGGTGCATGCCCTAACCACTGATGACCACGCATTGTGGGCCCCATGATGGGGCAGAAGCACGTAGGCCACCCACTGAAATGGGGTGAATGGAGATTGGACAGTTCACCTGCACCTAGCTAGGGGTCTGTCAGCAAACACTGCACTAGCCACCAAGGGACATGGGGCACTGGACACCAGCTACTGAGAAACTGCCCTAGGGCTGGGAATAGAAACTACTACAACACTCTCTGAGCCTGGAGATGGCTTTTCCCCATCCCTGCACACTCCTTGAGTTGCAGTAGTTCCCTTTGCTCTCCCATCCTATCTCCCCCTCCCCAACTCCTTCCCTTCCACCGATGCACAGAGACCAGTATTGTTCACAACATTTTCTCGTGTGTCTCTGAAAGATCATGTTTTACCTCATGAGATCTGACACCCTGGCACCCAATTAGCAGACTGCCTCACGGTGTCCATTGATTATCACCCATCTCTGTTGCTGATACCTTCTGCCACCAACCCACCTCGTCCCTTTTTATTGATGCATGAGGAGTCCGCTCTGCATCTCTTGTTGGATTGTGTATCCTACAGATGAGAGAGTACCCCTCATTTGAACATTGGCAGGTTGATGCCACAGATGCCGGTGAATATAGTTGGGTGCCCAGAGGAACATGTGGAGTTTAGAGCTCCAGAATACTTGTCTGTCTCTCTCTCTCTCTCTGTCTCCAACAAAGACATGAATATAGTGTCAGTAGTCCCATCCCCATGGAAAGCGTGTGGGAATTTTGAGAGGAGGAGGAATTTGGGAATGTGTAAGGTCCCAAAAGTTATGCTAATGATTTTGTGATGCTGGGGAACCAAATGGGACCAATAGTTACTGCACCTTGACACTGTGGAGTGGCATTTTCTTTATTAAAGGGAGTTCTATGGAAAATGTGTTTGTGGGTCTGGAGGATTGTGTAGTGGGGGAGGTGGCGGGGCCTGTTGCTGCAGAAGTTTTGCCAAGCAGTCTCTGCAGTCTGTGAATCTTTTCTAATCGACCTTTGTTTAGAAAACACCAGCAGTTTCATTTGTGGTGGGAAACTGCTGCAGCATGTCACTGTAAGGAGCAATGTTGGTGCAAGGTGGGACTCCGCTAAATGTGAAGGCCGTGCTGTTTGGTGGTGGGATTCTGTTATGCTAAATCATGAGAAGCAGAAGAGAAGGAGCGGGAAGTTTCTCTGATTTTTCACAGGAGTACACTTTTTAGGGTATGCTTAGGAACCCGATGACACTGCTTTTGGGAGACCCAGGCACCCCATTCCACCTTAACTTGGTATTTCAATCAGCACCATGGCTGGGCACCAGATGTTACGCAGAATACAATTTTCCTCTCAAAGACTCGCCTTTAGCGTGAGAAAAGCGAGCGCAGTTTCTCTGCCAGCCATCCAGAGAGAAATTGAAAGCAGCTGTGTTTAGGAGGGGGAGCTGCTGTCGACTGGGGGAGGGGCTCAGGTGCACCTCTTCTCAGATGGAGCCTGGAGAAGTGGAGAGCAGAGGGAGCCCTGTGCATGGCTGGCATTGCTCGGGGTCCTCGACACATATCACGTTGCCTGGGGAGCAGGCTGGCTCTGATGCAACATCCCAGCTTTGATTGAAAGAGAGGCCTGGTTTGTGTGTATGTTGTATGGACAAGGGCACTGATTTACCTTATGCTGCTTTTGGGAGGAGTCAGACAGCCCGTCATTGTGGGTTCTAACACTGCATCCTTTAACACAATGAAATGCAGCCTCCATTGTATTAAGGGTGGGCCTGGGTTTGGGAAGGGGCATACAAGTGTAACACTTGCTTTGGGGCTCACCCAGCTAACCCCTAGAGCTCGAAGGTGGTGAGTCAGTTAGGCCTGTGATCTCGTTGCTCAGAAGCTGGAGCTCAGTACGATTCCTCTTCCTTCTTTTCCCCTCCTCAGGAGCAACCTATTAATTCTGCCACCTGGGTGGGGCTACGTGCTGTCTTCCACCCCTCCCCCTCCTGTCTTTTGTTAGAGGACACCTCCAAGTCTGTGGAAGTGAGGGCAAATCTCAGGTTGTCAGATGTGAAGAGGCTGAAGGGGTGTGCCCATTAGAAACAGCCCCGCCAGCTGAGAGCTCCAACACAGAGCAGTGAGCTGTGCTGAAGCTCTCTCCATCAGAGGCAGAGAGAGAGACCTTAGTTCCCCGCCTACCTCGGACCACGCCCATCCAGAAGAGAATACTTAGATGCCCCTCTTCTCAGGCATCCTCTCTCTGCCACCTCCTTCTGCAATGCTGGTTTATTGCAGTCATTCTTCAGGACCTCTGGGTGGGAGATGGATTTTCAGAAACCATGTGGAGCTGAGGCATAAGTCTTTCAGCAGCTCCTTAAACCTAACTATAGCATTGCTTTGGAGCTGCTCCATAATTTGACAAGCACCTACCTGATGGTCGGCAAGCTCAGCCAAGGTGCTGTGGAACTCCCCTGCACTGCAGTGAGGGCGGGGCTTTCACCTGTGTGGGAGAAGTGCCATGCACACTGTGGCTTTCTAGGAAAAACATACGGAAATAACTGACTGTAAGTCTGTGAAAGGACTGAACAGCTTTTACGTGTGAAGATGGAGCATTGCCTAGTAGCTAGGACAGGGTGCGAGAGCTCAGAATAACCAGGTTCTTTTCTCACTTTTGACACCAATTTAGAATGCAAACTTTGAACCTCCTCAGCCTCACTTTCCCCATCTCTATAAAATGGGGGAAACAGTTGCAGGGAGATTTTCAAAAAGCACATGAATGATTTAGGAGCTAAGATCGATAATGTGACTTGTGCTCCTAAATCTCTGAGGCTGTGTCTACACAGCAGCGTTATTTCGGAATAACTGACGTTACTCTGAAATAACAAAGTCACATCTACACTACAGTTATTTCAACATAATGTCGAGCTGAAAGACTTCTTACTCTGACTCCTGTAACCCTCATTGTACGAGGAATAAGGGAAGTTGAAAGAAGAGTGCTTTTTCTTAGACTTCCTGCTCTGTAGACAGCGCCAAAAGCCAAAATAAGCTATTTCAACTTAAGCTATGTCAATTGCATAGCTTAAGTTGTGTAGCTTATTTCGGCTTTAGCCCTGCTGTGTAGACATGCTCTTGGAGTTTTCTGTTAAGTGCTGTGAGACCTATGAGAAATAAACACTTATCTTATATTTAAAGTCATTTATCAGCTGTAGCCAAGGTTTTGAAAACTGGATTCCTACAGTCAGGAGCGTAAATCTATATTTACTCATAGATGTGACAGCACACTTAGAAATCTGGATAGAGTTCCCTTGACTTAGGTGCCTAAAATACCCAGTTCTGAGCATTTGGACTCTTTTACATCAATGTTTGTGAAGTGGCTTGGGAGTCTCTGGCGAGGTGAGTTCCCACTGAGATTGTCTTTTAGTACACTGGATAAGCATCTTAGATGTGTGCAAACATTATTTTAGTTAATCTGAAAATTCATTGCCCTCCAGTTTTCTGCCCATCATCTTCAGGCAAGCTGGGCACTATTTCACAGTTCTGAGACACACAACAGGTAATGCATGCACAGGTTTGTGCTTGTGGGCATCACACTGCCAAGATGGCAGCTTCCATTTGATTTTTAAGGGCTAGAGTCTGCTATCCATACTAGGGAAACTATCTGTGGAGCAAGGGACTAATAGCCAGCACAATCCTGAAAGAATCTGGCTTGTTTTGTGATTTGGGCAGTGATGTACTCTGGAACTATCATACTGGGTCAGACATATGGTCTAATTCATCTAATATTCAGTTCGGCTGGTGGATTAGAGGCTTGAGAGGAAGATGTAAGAATCCCACCCCATCCTATGGGCAGATGTGAGCTAACCTGCCCCCACATTAGATCTCATCTTGATCTCCAGGTTTTAGAGATTGGCATAAACTCTGAAACAGGAGCTTTAATATCCCTTCCATGCCTTGTCATTAAGTGTTGTCCTTCTGGATATTGTTGGTATCCATGAAATTCTTCTTTGAATCTTGCTAAATTGCTGGCCTTGAGAACAGCCTGTGGCAATGAGTTCTAATCAGGCCCTGTATAAAGAGGTATTCTCTTTTATCAGTTTTGAATTTGCAGCCTTCAGTTTCGTTGAATGCCCCCTTATTCTTCTGTTCTCCCTGTGTCATAACACTAGTTCCTGCTCTACCTTCTCTAGTGTACCATTTATTGTATGAAGCCTTTTCTAAAGCAGATGTTCTCAATGTGTTCCATCTCTCTTCATATGAGATTTTTCCCATGCCTTGGATCATTCCCATTGTCCTTCTCTGAACAATTTTTGATTATGAAATAGTCTGCAAGATGTGCTGCACAGTATTTCAGCTGAGGCTGTACCATTGGTTTACTTGATAGCATTATAATATTGTCTTTATTCTTCATCCCATTCCTTCTTATGCATCACCTGTGTATGCACATACAGCCAGTAGAATATCTTGTAGATTACACTTCAGGGTTTTCTTCTATATGACACATTTTCAAATGGCCCTCAATTAATTCCTGGAATGAAACAATAGTCAGTAGAACAAGCCAACCTCATAAATCTTTATCCAGTAAGAGTAAGTCATTACGCCTGGCCCTGTGAGTAAATTTTCCATCTGTTCCCGAAGAAACCACAGCATGTTCTACATTGTGTCAGTATCTACTGTGATATTTCCGCTCCCAGAGATTTCTTGAGTTTTCTCCAAAGGTCCCATATGGTTTAGTCTCTCTCTCACAAACTCCTGCTCATGTGCACCCATAAAAAATATGAAATGCGCAAACTAGAGTGGCAGGAGTCTTTTCACAAATCCAGGCTTACTCCATAGTTCTAGTAGGTCAGACTATCCATTCCTCTCCCTTTTGTATTAGTTTTTTGGGGAGGAAAAAAGAAAATATACTCCTCTCTCCCAGGGAGGTCTATACAGCACTTTTCAGCACTGCTTCTTACCTTAATAAGCTGCATCTTTCAATTTCTTGGGCAACTTTGTCCTTTTTAAAAACTAGTCACATTCATATACAAGCTCTAGACAGACTTCAGTTGGATGTCTACCCTTAAAGTGTATTCTTTTGGTTTGAAAACTAGGCCAGCCCCGAACGGGCCAATCCTGAATTTGTTCCTCAGGCAAAGCTCTTGTCTTAAATGAGGACTCCTGGATCAGACTCCAAATGTTTAAGAGTCACTGATATGCGGTGACTGCTGTTAACGTAAGTAAGTATTGGGGCGTAATGTGAAAGGATTGAATAAGAAAAAGGAAAAAAATAGACTTGAAACCTTCTAGAAAGAGCCACAGGATTGGTTTTCTTTTAAACTAGTCAGCTGGTACACCATGGGAGTTAAGCAGCTGATTCTGCGTCTATGAAGGGCTCTTGGTCCCAATGTAACAAGGCAAACCCATTTGAATTTCTTTGTGTTTCCTTATTGCCTTGGCAGAAGTGAAGGACTATGAGCCCCCATTTGGCTCTAAAGTTCGAGAGCACCCTTGCGTTGAGAGCATGAAGGACAATGTCTTGAGAGACAGAGGGCGTCCTGAGATCCCTAGCTCCTGGCTCAACCATCAGGTAAGGCTACACAATACAAGAGACTATAACATTTGGACACGGTCCCCACACCAATGTCTTCAAGTGCAGGGGGCTGAACAAGCTGTACTGGGCAAGGGTTTCTTAATTGGTTGGTGATGCTGGTGCTCCTGCCCATCCTCACCTTTAGTAAATCATACACCACATCATTCTGCACTGGGTTTCCTCTTCCTACCCCACTCGATCAGTGCAGGACAGTGACATTCTTCTGCACCCATATCCGCAGAAGACAAAATCTCTACCCTAAATGATCCACAGGAATGAGAAAGCAAACCCAAACCAATAAGGAATCATCCAAATGGCAATGGAATGCATTGCCCCCTAACATGCTCCCAGTTCTGGCTCTGAAAGGTCAAAGAGGAGCAAATTCCATATGAGGATCCCTTCAGCTGAGAAGTTACTGCTGTTAGACTAGGAATTAGAGCAGGCCAGCTGATTTGATGGTTTAAGGCAATAGAGGAGGGGCAGTCTCTCAACTCAGTTGGGGCTTTGCAAGGGGAGCATTAACAGCCCTTTTTAGCTGTGGGCTCTGAACTTTGCTATTGGCCTTAACCAGTGCTGAAAAACATGGGTTCGTCCCACGTTCTAGTGGCTTGCCACAGTCTGGACTACAGGGGGTGTGAATTGTGGAGCACTCTCACTGCCTCCTATAGTCCCTGTTGGCTCAGACTCAGAGACACCTCATGTGCAGTAACATGCTCCTCCTTGCAATGGGACTATATCACTGAAAACTAGGTACCTTGTAGTTTGAGCCAGCAGCATCAACATGGTGCAGGGAGAGTGCAACAAATTTAGAGCACTGTCCAGTTCACTCCACCGGAGACGAGACTGTGACACTGCAATGCTTGCTCTGGCTGGCACCCCAAAAGTAGACAACCTAGCCCTGAGCTTGGCAATCCCAGCAGTGAAGTAAATTGACAGCTGCTCCCAGGAGAACACACTCACCCACAGGGCCAGATAAATGAGAGCGTCTCAAACAGGAGCAGGAAAACTGTCAGTTCTGCTGCCAGCACCACTCCATAGAGCTCATGGCTACAGGTGCCCACAAGTCTTAGAGCAATTGCAAGAGAGCCCCAAGGACACACTGTCCTTGTCTGGCAACAGGCTAGTGCTTCTATCCTCTGCCCTGTGGAGTCTGGTCTCGGGATAGTTGCTGCTCCCTGAATTCTTTGTTCTGGAGAAAGTAAGGTGCTTACCAGCAGCCCCCTTAGAACTGCAAACTAGGAAGAGCACGGTCTGTGCACAGCCCCTGCAAATACAGTCTGGCCGTAAGTGAGGTGTAATCAAAAGGATAATTTAGGGAAATTGACAGCACCAGGTTTGATCTCACTGACCAGGAGCTTTGATTTCCCCCCATGAAAATCTGCTCAACATTTCATGCTGTGAAACAGTCCAGCAAGGCATTGACTTCAGTGGAGCGGTCACAATTTATCACAGGTGGGGCACTTCCCCCAGAATTCTTTAGTACTAATTTTGAAATCTGTAGAAGTTGCTCTTACTGGTATGTCTCCTCCATAATCATTTTCTCCCTCTGCAGTTGTGTTTTTGCAAATGAACCTATTATTCATAGTGATAACATTCTGGAATAGATTTACATATTGCAATGTTTTCCTCCTTTAATGAGACTTGTTGCACTATTGATTTCAAGTTAATGTTTAATATTTAATTTAATTTACTGCTTGTAATTTCAGTGCCAGCAGAAAATGAATGTTATTTATATACAGGCGGTAACGTTGTGCTATTAACATTGACACCAGTCAACAACACCAGTTAGGGAAATTATACAATTAATGTGGTATTGTAAAGTGTTGTTTTTCAATAAAAAGTTTAATATAAACCACACTTAATGACCTTTAGTGTGAGAGAACAAAATACATAATTTCTTGGCAAATGTCTCTTGTTTATAAAGATATTGCTAAGACACAGCTGTTTTTATTTCCAATAAACATGTGCAGCAGCATTGCAACTACGTCCAAATACTTATACCTGTGAGTAATGTGTGTCTGCAAGATCAGGGTTTGTTTCTTCATGGATCCAGTCTCCAAGAAACCACATGAGGCCTGTTACTCATCAGTGTTACTAGAGATTTTACATTGGTCAGCTGATCATGAAGAGAGAAGTGGGAAATCAGTGAGGTTATCCTATAGCATATCATACTTCTAAAACACACTGCTGGATTCTGCACTAATCGTCCACTGGATTTTATACTAAAATACTCTATGATGATAGCCCCAAAACTGTAGTAACTCGGCTGTAATCTATTGTAAATAGGACAGTGTTTTTATATAGAATTCTCACTACACCTCAGACCCGATGATTATGAGACTAATTCTGTACTTACTTACATCCCATCAGTAACTATGTTCGTCCTGGAAGTCACCTAGGGTCACACTCGAATGTTTTCATTGTCTGAGCCCGAACTATCCTGGAAAGGAATTGATTGCTGTATTTCTGTGCCTACTGCAGGGTATCCAGATGGTGTGTGAGACTCTGATTGAGTGTTGGGATCATGACCCCGAAGCCCGGCTCACTGCGCAGTGCGTGGCTGAGCGTTTCAACGAGCTGGAGCACCAGGACAAACTCTCAGGAAGAAGTTGTTCAGAGGAAAAAATCCCGGAAGACTGCTCTGTGAGCACCACCAAGTAGCGACCAGCTCCAGCTTGCATCAAGGAAGGAGGAGATTGCTCCTGAATTCTTACAGCTTGGGAAAAGCAAGTGGTCCTGATCAGTGTCTGGACTTGCTTCCTACAGTACTGAGGATCTGACTGCTCCGTTTAAATGGTGTCTCCAGAGGGGGACAAGAATTTGTGGGAACCAAAAATAGGGAGTTGGTGTCAAACCGTGGCTGCCTTTCATGTTGTCAAAGGCTAAGCTGTGTTAGCACTTCCTCAGGAAACAAAATTTGACAATAGCCAATAATATTTGCACTTTATTAATACCTGTATATAACTACAGAATAGCTATTTTTATCTAGGAAACTACCAGTACCTATGGGAAAGGTTCTCTTTAAGGAAAGAAATGCACAGGTGCCCCCTGATACCAGCAACAAGGTGCTAGGCATCACACCAAATGCATAGGAACAATATGCAATAGAAAGGTGGCTTTCAAATCGCATACTTACACGAATCCTGCTGTTGCTGCTCTGTATTTCCAAGTTATACAAGAGCTTGTTCACAGCAGATTTGTCCTCAGACTCTGTTTCCGTTATGCAGTAACTAAGCAATCGTTCTTGCATCTGGTTTTAAAGAGGCTAGTATGTATTACTCAGTGGGTCACCACTATACACAGATGTTTAACTATGTTCCTCAAAATATTCCAGAAAAGAGGAGGTGTTTTCTCGACTCTTAACTTGTATCTCCATACAAAGGTCACTCTCCCTTATATGTTTATTGCTTTGAATTTACACTTCATACTAGCAGGCTGCAAAATGTCAGAGGAACAAATTTCCCTCCCCCCTGCCTCTATTAGACAAGGCCAACAATAATCCAGATGTTTTGCATTTGCTGTGCATGCTGATGGAAGGCAGTACTACTTTTTATTTTTTATGTATTGGTATAAAACCTAACGTTTTATGCACAGCACGTCTAGTTTCTTGACACACTTAGTTCTAATTGTTTCAAGCCTTACTTGAAAAAGCAAGGAAAGAACAATAGCATCCTCCGTTTCTGAACTCCCATGCAGATCTGAGTGCAGTGGGAACACTTGGTAATAGAAGATTGCTATGTACTGCACATTTAGAACAGCTGCCCCTAGACTTTCAGTGTGCGTAGCAAAAAATGTGCATTCCAAAATTTTCCCATCAGACATTACTTGCATTCTTTTAAGCCCTCCAAAAAGTTTAGATTTGAAGTTGGCCTCTATTGGATTTTTAGTAAAGCTATAGCTATCAGTGGTCAGTATTGCCTAACAATTTTGTCTTCAGGTTTTTTCTGTGCTCTTCTCACAGAGGCATAAAATGTACCATTGAAATTAACACAACAGTTCTGCATTAATAAATAAAGAGCTGTGTCCAGTGCAATTAAAATAAAAGCCTTTTTCAGACATTGATATTTTTCTAGGAGACTGCTTTATAAATCAATAGGAAACATGTTTATCATATAGAAGTTTGATTTATGGTGAAAATATTTTATTTAAAATGGTTTTGTATCTGCTTTTATAATACACTACTTAGAAATATTTAAAGAATGCAGAGTCCACAACTGAAACTGGATTAAAAAAATACTATGCCAGATTTTATAGGGGGGACTATCTTTGCTTGAACCGTGAAGCTATGAGCTAAAGGAATACAGCTTAGCTACAAATATCAGTGCCACTGTTAATGTTACTATAAAATGTGTATGGTGTTGCTGTGTTGTCTATGCAGAGTTATCTCCCTCTAGTGATGGATTTGGAGAATGCAATCCAGTAACTTCATGGAGAAAAAAAACGAGGGAAGGCGTGCTACTTTCACAAACTGGAAAGTAGCATGAGATATCATGGCCTGTTTCTCCTCCAGGCAGCGTAGAGGCCAAGGAATACTGACATTTTTACTACTAAAGAGAAATTTTTATTCTTGTAAGGAGTATTTCATTCTGTCCATCATGTATAAAATAGGAACATGGCTATATACTCTTGTTTATCAAATGTTTCACACGCTTATTTTCATTTTAAACAGTGTTTTGTATAAATCAAAAGTTTATTAGAGACAATAAAACAACTAGAGACTTTTTTTCAGTGGGTTTCTTTTACGCATACAAATGTTCCAGAATCAGTGTGTGATCTGGCTGAGGAAAGGTGTTTTCTCAGAGAAAGCAATCCTGACACTCATCCCTTCTCTCCAGCTGCCTGGGGACAAAGCTCGGAGCCCAACTACACTGCTGGCCTCAGGCCTGCTCCCCAAAAAATCTAGGCCTTGATCATAACCTCTTGGGGGGAAATGCCTATGGAAATTTAAAAGCCATGCTCCAGTAGTGCAGCCACCAAGTACAGATGGCATTGGAGCGGCCCTCACCCAAACGCAGTTTCATAAGGGCTCCCACAAATGTGTAACTGTAACCACCACCGGTCACATTTGAACCTGGGACTGTGGGGCTGTGTCTACATTGGCAAGATTTTGCATGAAAGCAACCTCTCTTGCGCAAAATCTTGCCACCTGTTTACATTGGCCGGGAGTATTTGCACAAGAACACTGATGTTGTAATGTACAAAATCAGTGCTTCTTGCGCAAATACTCTGACGCTCCTGCTCAGGGATAAGCCCTCTTGTGCAAGTATTCTTGCGCAAGAGGCCAGTGTAGACAGGCAACATTAATTTCTTGCGCAAGAAAGCCCGATGGCTAAAATGGCCATCGGAGCTTTATTGAGCAAGAGAGTGTCTACACTGGCACGGATGCTTGCTTTTGCGCAAAAGCACATGCCAGTGCAGACACTCTTGCGCAAATACTTTTAACAGAAAAACTTTTATGTTAAAAGTATTTGCGCAAAATCATGCCAGTGTAGACGCAGCCTGGGCGTTTAGCGTAGGAACCTTTACATCTTGAGCTATAAAGCCAGTTAGCTTTACAGCCTAAACTGAGAGCTCCCTTGTTCTTATCTCTCAAAGTGCCTCTAGATGGGACAGTGAACCACACTAGGCATTTGGGTTACATAACCATTGGGGTCTTAATGTCCACCCACCAGTGTCTTCCTGTCTCTGTTTTGTGGCTCTGCTTCCTCTGGAGATGTTCTAGTTAAAGTGAAAAAGCTTGTCAGACCTCTTAGCAAATGCCTGTTTGAGCCATTCAAATGGTATTTAATCTCCTTTTCTCAAGTTTGATGTTGAGCTAAGCCCAGGTATTTACGGTCAGTTTCTGAATTTGTAGGTTTGTTGTTTAAAAATATTTCATTGATGGATGGTGGGCATAGCAGGTTGGGGAAGACCGTGCCTTCCCAAACTGCCAGGTGTGGCCCTGCCCACATGCTGCCCCAGAATGCTGTGCTGAAGCAGTAGGTGTTCTGGGGGCAGAATGTTGCTGCCCCTGGCTTCAGCTGTGCTGTGACTAGGGACATGAGGGCAGAGCACCCTCCTGTGCTCTGGGACTGGGATTGCTATGACGTGTGGGCACGCTGCCAGGTGCTGGGTAGGGGGCATGTTAGCCTGGGGCAAGGGCCAGTGGACAGAATTGTTGGGGGGGGGGGCAGCAGCCACAGTGCAGGCTATGCTGTGGTTGGCACAAATGGGTGAGGCCTCAGGCAGAAGGGGCAGAGCTGAGGGCATTAGCCTCTCCAAGCCACCCCTTCACCCACTGCCCCTCCTTCCCTTAGTGTGTTGCCGAAGATTATAAAATCAAATCTAAAAAAAAATCAGGTTTCCCCCCCCATAAATAAGGGTGGGGGGAATGAGGACAGCCCTGCATGGGGGCTAGATTCCAGCCCCTAGGTGGCTTCCTCGATGGTATATACAGGCCCTAAAGGGGGTCTCTCAGCAGCTACAAGAAGAATCCCCCCTCCCAGTGCTAGTGTAATCACTGGCAGGTGGACCCAACCCAAGGGATGTGTCTACATTGGCAAGATTTTGCGCCAAAGAGGCCGCTTTTGCGCAAAAACATGCTGCCTGTTTACACTGGCGGGGAGTTCTTGCGCAAGTAAACTGATGTTCTAATGTGTGAAATCAGGGCTTCTTGCACAAGAACTATGATGCTCCCGCTCAGGAATAAGCCCTCTTGCTCAACTGTTCTTGTGCAAGAGGCCAGTGTAGACAGGCACCATGAATTTCTTGTGCAAAAAAGCCCAATGGCGAAAATGGCCATCGGAGCTTTCTTGCACAAGAGAGCATCTACACTGGCATGGATGCTTTTGTGCAAAAGCACATGGCAGTGTAGATGGTCTTTTGCGAAAATACTTTAACGCAAAAACTCTCGTGTTAAAAGTATTTGTGCAAAATCTTGCCGCCATAGCCGTAGCCCCAGTGTGTAGGTTACACAACCAGCTTACGTGGCCCTGCTCTGTACACAGCCTGGGCGTCAGGGGCCTGGGTTGGGGAGGCTGCTTTAGTGCCTAGTTTAGTGGCCTTGCTGGGGCTAGAGAGTGGCTAATATGCTGTTGGGGGAGGTGGCTCTAACGCGACACTTACCACTCCTGGCACAAAAACGTACTGTGAGCAACCCCCCTCCACTACCCACTCGCCATTATCAAAGCAATAAAATCCGTGTACCAGCTTGTTATGCCACAGGCTTCCAGCTAAGCTAACCAGTGGTGTGAAACCATTTGGTACCTTTGCAAGGGAAACCCCAGGGAACGTTCAGCCTTAAAGAACATACGCACTATGTTTTACTTATTTGCCAATTATCATAGAATGGAAGCGTTGGAAGAGCTCTCAGACAGCCATCAAGTCCAGCCTCTTTCTCCTCTCCGTTTCTCCCCCTCAGCTAAAAGCAGCACAAATTAACCCACAAAAACATCATCATGTTTCTTATCTTAAAGCCTGACACTAACCTACCTCAGCTAATAACCTTAATGGTAATGACACGTAATGGCCAACGTACAAAGCAAGCAGAATTCACCTGTCGAGGCCAAAGCACATTCCCTTGGTTTGCTGTTGAGGCATACAGCAGTGTATGCTACATTGTACAAGATGCTGCGCACACGCATCTTGGTTACTAGTTTGTATAGTACCTAGCACATGGGGGTTTCTTACCATTTTCTTAGGCCGCCTATGGCCTTTGAGCAGCTTGCATGCTGCTGTTCTATGCTGGACCTAGCTGCTTCTGGAGCCAAGGATTTGTTCCAGCATCAGGGGACTGACTAGGCAAAGCAGGGCCTGGCCACATGCCTCTTTCTGAACTTTGATAAAACACATCATATGGCAGAATGAGATGCTTCCCCCAGTAGGTGTCACTAGAGCACAAGTACTGTGCTAACTTGGTCATGCTTGCACTTGGGCTTGGGCTTGGTCTTGGTCTTGACCCTCTTCCACAAACATTTATATGAACACTAATCCTTAACCGCGAG